TCAAAAGACATGCAACCACTAAACAATTTGCTACTCTTTTGTGTCATGCAGAATCGTTTTGAATCCCGGATAGAAATTTCTATCCTTTTCCTCGATTTAACTACTCTGTGCCTCACCATTATCAATCTGCAAAAGAAACACTGATAATAATTCTTGTTCATTTAAGTATCTCCAGAGCTCTATTGAAAATAAATGAGGCTGGAAACTACCAAGAGATTTATTACCACCACCCTTAGGGATGTGTGGGAACATGGCTGCTATGATGCAGCTGCGACATAAATCATCGTTGGAGAAAGACAAAATGAAGCAAATAGCTCAATAATTAATTTATCCACCACAGAATCTGAACCAGGAATTCAATATATTTCTTTACCAGTTAGGCATTAAAATTTGGTCACAGACTTATTTACTGTTTTCTTGCAAGCATTTCATGATTCATCTTTAAACAAATCTCAAAAGAGCTGAACTATATCAATTACAAAACTGATAAATTCATAGCTGCTACCCAATCTGCCAGTCAAATAGTGTTTTCATATGTTGCAGATGTAATTTAAACACTGGTCATTCAAATGAGTGATAAATCTCTTAAATTAATTTCCAATAAAAGGAAATACTGACGTGGCCTTAAATTCATCATCATTTATTTATTCATTTCAGTACATTATGCCACTCCACCTTGCAGTCATGATATTAGTCACTGGATTGTATAGTCAATTGATCAATCAGACCAAAAGTAAGTTATCTTAAGCTACTGGATATTTAAGTTGTTACATGAATACATAAGGGGAAAAAGAAAAGTATTTCATATTTTTAATTATTGATAAATAGATGGCACTAAAAAACTTCATAAGCTATAGTTTAGCAAACAGGACGATATGCCACTAGATTTAGTAACCTCAAATGCTTAGTACCACGATGACATCTTATTTATCAAGAATCCAGGCTTTAAGGAAAGGAGGAATTGCTGAAAGAGCTGCCAAAAGAGGTATTTTCAAATTAGTCTAAACAGATTCCCCTAGGAGATCCTAGTTATATAATATTGACCTTTAAGTTATTGATATTATTCATCAGTATCAGAAAAACATTTCTGCTGATTTCAGACTAATGGTTATATTAGGAAAACTTTTCAAATAATATACTGTACTTAATTATTATTTTGAAGGACACTTGTTTAAGTTGGGCAGGAGAAGTAACTCAGCAGTTAAGTGCATTTGCTTTTCTTGCAAAGGACTTGGTTTGGTTCTCAGCACACACACCAAGTGGTTTCACACCAACTGTGACTCCAGGCCCAGGATATGTGCTGCCCTCTCTGGCCTCCAGGGGTACTTGCATGCAGATGGTGCATGTACATACATTCGGGAAATAAATCTTTCCAAAACATCTTATTCAGAAATATATACAATAAATGTAGAAATAAATAAAATGTGTAGAATAAAATGTAGACATCTCAGAGATTGTGGGCACTATGTATTTGAGAAAACATACAATTTGACATTAAATTGAAGCTCACAATTGCAAAATTGAATAGTAAATATTGTAAAAGTAATTACCTATTTATACACCTTGCATATTTGTAAAATTGTCAGGTTTTAGTGAACATCTTTTCTTTTTCTCTGGACTATCATAGGGTGGTGTTTCTAAAATCAGTTATTACAGAGGAGATTCAAACCCTCCATACAATGTGTATTGTTACTAATTATTGGTGAGATCCACATATGGCTATTAGGAATGATTTATTCCTCACAGGTAAGTTTTTCTTCCATTTCATTTGCTTAACAGCTTTAAATCATTTAACTGACCCTTCTGTGGGTAGCTAGTTCTGCCTTCCATAGGAAGAAGAAAATTCACACTTTCAGCTTTAATCTCTTATGCTCCAAAACAGCATGATTAACATAATCAGATATATCTGTTTCATTTTCACAGGGTGGCTTATGATCAAAAGTTATTCTTGAGAATAACTAAAAGTCACTCAAGAGATTAATTCCTTAGATTCTCAATTCTTTGGAGGGATGCTGGGAACCAAACACAGGACCTGATGCATGCTGGGTAAACAGTGTTACGTGGCAGGCAGCTAATGTTTGATTGGTTGTGATACAGGTAAAACACTTCCAAAGGCACTCAAATGTCCTTGGAACTACAGGGAGGGCTTCAATAGGACCTACTTGTCTTTTTGTACCACTGGCTCCTTTGAATACACCATCTTAAATGTTTAAAAACATGAAGCATTTTGATCATCAGAGAAAGAACTAAAACTTTAGACTCTAACTCAAGAAGACTGTACTAAAGGCCAAGCAAGCACAATTGTTACTTGTCATTTTAATCCTATCTTAGGAGAAGAGGGAGACTTAAATAAAAACAAACAAACTTCTCCCATAAATTTAGTGACAAACTTACTAAAATGTAAAGACTTCCAGGGCAGGCTCTAGTGCCACTGACATTCTACCCAGAAATTTGCCTGCTGCAGCTTAGATGTCATTGCGCAAAGGCCTACTGTGTGCCTAACACATGCCCGGATGCCATACATGGGAACATACAGTGAGCTGAGGAAAGACAGATTTCTAGTGTTTTATTTGCCAGAGTGAGGGGTGTGTTCTTGACCAATGCCAGAAAACTGACTAGACACCAAGACCTCTGACAGTCACTGGGATTAGTCATCTGAAACGCAAAACATAAATTTTGAGGCTCTAAAGAAGTGGGTCATTGGATACACTGAGGAGGGCTGAGGCCCTCCCCCAAATGATGGGACAGACTTTGAGGATCCACCATGGAAGGCCTCACTACCCTTGGGGAATGGGTGGGGAGTTGGTTGGGGGAGTTGGTAGGGGTCATGAGAGGATAGGAGGGAGAGGGAATGGGGATTAATATGTAAAATGATTGTTTATAATTAAAAAAGAAGGAAAAAAAGGAAGTGGGTCATGCTAAATTGACAAGGGCACGTCATTGAATGACCTTATACACTGTTATATACTTATGGATATATCCTAAGATATGCATGCTCATATCTACTTATACATTATTCTACACTTAGTCATAGAAATTACCCGAAACTACTCAAAACTGCACAGAAAACTAACTTAATTTTACCTTCCACACAATATTTGAATGTTCAACATACGTAAGTTTAAACTGTGTACACAAAAACACTAACATGAAAACATCCCACACCAATTTGAGAACCAAACATTAATCTTTAAATTTATTAACATCATCTTCTACTTAATAACAATGTTAAAAGAAAATACAGCAATTTTAAAGTCTCAATCAAAACGCACCCTTTCAGTCTCCCAGCTTATCCATGCTACCTTGCCCTTTAAGGCTGTAGCCAATTTTCATAAGAGTGAACCACAGGGAGCTTTCTTTCTCTTTAAGCATAACATCTACTATTATTGCTAGGGTCTTACCTTCCGGGCTTGGTGCTATATTTCTGTAGTCGGGCTTTAACTTCATCATATGTGAGAAATGCCATATACCCGGGATGTGTCACAGCTAAGAAATTCCAATTCCGTAAAATAGAACCCCAGGGCTAAACACATAAATAAATGGAAAGAGATTACCCAAAAAATACACACCAGTGACATTGTTTCACATGCTTAGAGCAAGAAAAACTCCTCCATATTTTTAAGTTAATATGGCTTATGAGCATTAGGTCAATCTTTGTTAAATAACAGCACAAAGGCAATAGCTTGTTTTGTTTTACGGAAATGTGTTGAGACAAAAAGCATGTTTCTTAGGAATAGAACAGAGGGCCAAAGGAAAGCCAAGTGTTCCTTACAGAGCATATCCCCCAGTAGAGAATTTATGAGCACTATAAAATAGAATATTTGACCAACTGGTTTTAGGGTTTGGTCCCCAGTTGTCTTTCTATACTCATTGCTGTCACTGTGACTTTTCTGTAGCCCCACTATCTTGTCAACTAATCTTAAGCATAAAACCCTGGACAATCTTAGAGCCTTTCAATTTTGCTGAATCTGAAGTACTCACATGAATACCCACCCTTTCCTCAATGAGGCCCTTGTAGACCCTCCTACTTCTAGCTGTTATCTCTTCCCCATAGTCATCTTTCTCATCTGTTTTGTCCATTGCAGCTTCTTGCACAGATACCTCATTTAACAGGAAACCATGTTACCAAAGTTAAGTGTTCTGGAAAAGGTTACGCAATAACCACAAAGCCTTGTAAAGCCAAGGTACATTCCTGTGCAGATCAGGCCTGGATCCTAGTCACTCAATACATTGTAATCAGTTTAGAGATAATTCCTTATAGACAGGGTTGCCTCAGAGGGGACGTAAACAGCCTCAATCCCCACCCTAGCTTTATCTTAGCTCTGCTAAGGACCTGGGAAAGGTTTAGGGTTTGAAAACAAGTTCAGTGAGAAGAAAACTTTTCACAAAAACATGTGTTTCATATCAATCTCTCTTAATCTAATTAGGGGTCTCTCCAGGTATGATGGCACAAGGAAAAAGGCAGTAACAGGCAACGTTGCTGCAGGGTGTGGATGAATCACTCCTGCAGTACTTTCAAGACTGAAGCTACATTTATTCCAAAGAATTGGCAGCACACTCCATCTGTTCTGCCAGATTCTTCACTCACTTCATCTATGTGGAGGAAAAAATAAAAAAGTCTGTGTTTCAAGTCACCAACATCAAGCTGCTGAAACTGGCATCCCAGACTTGATTACTGTAGGAGAGTTCCAGGTTTCATTTGTTTTGAAACTTGTTCTTGTTCTTCATTGTGAAGCAAGTTTCAAATGCACATGGCAGAATTCTGCAAGGACTGTGTGTCCCTAACAATGGGGATAACAAGAAAGAATGATTTGGGACTAAAGAGCTTTTTAGCCTTTTTGACTTAACAAGAAAAGTCTTTAGGGAATTTCCTCATCACGCTGACACATCTAATTGGGTAAGAAAGGAGGCCTGAGAACATGAGCAGCACAGACAGCAGCTCTGCACTTGAAAACTACGGCATGTTTTTAATTTTCTTCTTAAGGCTTGATTGAAATTGCATAAAACAATTCTTGGAAAAAATATCAGCATATGTCATAAAGGCAATGGAGAAATTGCTGCCATGCTAGACATTTTGGTTTTCGTTTTATTGTTTTGCTCCACCATCCAAGAAGGACAAGGCAAAAGGGAATATCAAATACTGAAGCTGCTTCCATTAACATCCGCGCACACTCTTAAAACATGTTAGAATCCAAAATTTAAAGGGAAGCAATTAACAGATCAAAATACAGCTAAAAACCAAGATGAAACTGAAGGTTAAAGCCATCCCCAGAGATATTAAGCCAGAAGGGCAGCTTCTTGTTGCAGAACTATTTGACAGGATGAGTCTGTGCTGTTGTGAACACTACCCATCCAGCACAGTCAGATCCGCACCCCCTGGCTTAAAGAAAGAAAAAATACTGTGGAGAAAATAATTCTTTAATTATGTTTATAACTCATTTGTCTAGGATGGAAGGACATCGTTTTTCTGCACAAAATCACTGAGAGGCTATTAGGTGGCAACAGAATATACTGAGGTGAATTCAAGAGATGCACCAACTTATGTTGGAGGAGGGGCCTCAGCTATTCTACTTAGATACTCTCTGGAAACCTTGCTATCATTGATGGCTTCCTTCCTCTTAGATGCTTCTCTATTCTATTACTGCTTGACGGTTCACCCTGGCTAGAATGTTCTCCCAAACATTCCTTCCATAATCTGCCTCCCTTCCCCCACAGACACACTAATGTAGTGTTCTGTGACTCATGCTTTTCCAGCAATAAAGGAAATAGGAAGTGAAACTAACTAGCATCTTTGGAAAAGAAATAGGGAGGAAAGATCCGAGTATTCATTGCATGACTCTGGCACCTTCCTATCCCAACCTCTCTCATTGACACGAAGAGGAAAAACAGAAGGACAACTGTAGGAGAAAGAAGAGGAAGTAGATGACCACAGCACAGCCACTTCCTTCCTAGGTTCACCAGCATTTGTTGGAGTTCCATGTGGACTTAAGATGAGGGCTGGGAGGAAGGACAAGTCTAGTAATCCTAACATTCCTGTACCTTTCGCCTTTCATCTCTTGGTTTCTCTTCACTGCTTCCTAAACAGCCATGCTCCTGTCTCTACTTAAGACAGCAAACTCCAAGAGTACCTCATCCACTTTCAGATATGCACTAAGCCCCCAATAATAAAGAACTGTAAGAATTATTTACTAACAAACTACCATTATCAAGTTACAATAAAACAGATGCTTATGCACTCAGAGTACCACAACTCTTACATTTTTATAAAGGCTATGGAAATGCGAAATTATGATAATAGTGAATTTAAGAAAATTATCACTTAACTTTTAATTGCACATAAAACTAAAGGTCAGTAAAAATTAAAATACCATAAAGCCAGTTTCCTCAGATTTGAAGCCAAATGTGTGAAGAGTATGAATAAAGTATTAAATAGGGAGTACAGAAATCAGATGTAATGAAGAATCTCAAAAATCGGAGGATTAAGGCCAGGCGTTGGTGGCGCACGCCTTTAATCCCAGCACTCGGGAGGCAGAGGCAGGTGGATCTCTGTGAGTTCGAGGCCAGCCTGGTCTCCAGAGTGAGTGAAACCCTGTCTCAAAAACCAAAAAAAAAAAAAAAAAAAAATTGGAGGATTAATCAGATTAGTTGGGTCACTGCCACAATTAACAGTTTTGAAATAGTTAACCTGCCCAGGTGAAAGGTTATCACGGCTGTCTGTCGAATAATGCTTTTGTGCACTGTGAAGATGTTTTGCTCTCGTTGGTTTAATAAAGAGCTAATGGGCCAATAGTTAGGCAGAAAGATTTAGGCAGGAGAGCCAATCTGAGAGAATGCTGGGAAGAAGGAGAGCAGAATCAACAGATGCCAGATGCAGAGGAAGCGGTAGATGGATGTGCCTTGCTGAAAAACATACCACCACATAGTAGAACATAGGTAAGAAACATGGGCTAACTTCAGCTGTAAGAGCTAGCAGGTAACAAGGCTATTGGACACATATTTATAATTAAAAGTAAGTCTCTGTGTGGTTATTTGGGAGCTGGCTGACAGGACAAAACCCTGCCTACAGCTGTCACGTTACCTATGCTTTCCCCTTGTTTCTTACACCCCCATGAATACACACAACATAAGCAAACCTATGAATATTAAGGCTGCTTGGCTACCTGTAAGTATAACTACATATCAGACAATGTATGTACAACAGTGTGGGTAGAGGGGGTAAGCATATAACCAAAATGAAGCTGCCTACATAGCTTTAATATATAATTGAAGTATTAAAACTCTTAATATCCACTCTAAAAAGTCACCCACAGTTCTCTCTTTGTGTCTGTCTCTTTATTCTCTCCCTCACACACACACACAAACACCCCACAAATAACTACAATAAACAAAAAGACTTTAAGAAGAAACTATGTTTAATATTGAAAAATATGTAGGATTTCTATATCACAAGGTGAAGAACCAAAACTGATCATTTAGAATCTTTGATTTCCATTGAAAATGAAGCCTTTGTTCTGCAAAACAAGGAGAAATCTTTAACACAGGAGCAGGTTACACAGTAAATGACTAATACTGGGTAGCCCAATGCTCCTCTAAAAGCCTTGTTACAATCTTTTAAAAGGAAAGGCTCTAATTATGCTATAAAAATAATTTAAAGTAATATTACAACATATATTCATCAAGAAAAATAACCATTAAGCCACTAGAAATTTAAAATAAGTAAACCCATACTTTCTCCAGTATTTCTTATCCCACATACAGTGTAGAGCTATGATTTTTAAATTGTCATAAAGTAAAATCTACCCTAACTGTGTTGTTGGCTGGAATCTGCTGGTCTCCTGATAATGAGTTATGTTAAGCTCATCCCATGCAGTGATTTCTGGCTAAATAAATCAGTCGTCTAGACTTTGCAGCTAGCACTAAAGTCGCAAATCATACAGCATGGGAAAAATGAAGCTGGTATCATACTCTACCATTTTATTTAACAATATCACTTTTAAAATATGGTTTTAATGAGAATGAATCACACGGGTTCTGGTGGCTCCTGATTTTATGAATATATCCTATTCCAGATAAAAATGATACTTTCAGAACACAAATAAGCTTGATGTCTAGTCAGTCTTATCACCTTTACTGTAATTATAACTAGAATTGTAAACATATTGAAAGGAAGATTTCATGTTGTAAGTGCTTGAATTGAAACCCAAAAATAATATACACTTCAGTGGCAAAGCCAAACTCAAAGCACAAATTTTAATATTTTTCATTTAGAGAAATTCCATTTAAATATTAATAGAAGCAAAAAAATGATTGTTTCAGTATTATACCAGTGCTTTTGAATACCTATGTAAAAATAATTATGAATGTTAAAAAGCAAAAATAATAACAAAGTTATCATTGGACAAAGCAGAAAGAAAAACAAAATTTTGATTAGAGTTTTTAAATTAATATTGATACAAAGTTGACAGAATATTATATAGGCACTGAAAAACTATTAATGAAGAATATCTGTTAGGATGGAAAAATATTTGTTACAACTTGTTGAAAGAGAGAAGCAATTTGTAAAGTGGTATGAAACCACATTAGACTATAGATAGATCGGTGAACTATTTCTAGCTTTACTCTTTATCTCCTGATCCAAAAAATGACCTTACCAAATAGGTGGGATTCAACTCTGGCCAATAACCACATATAATGGTTTCAATCTATCAGCCATTGGACTTAAAGATGAACAAAGTGAAAAAGTTAAAAAAAAAAAGGGGGAGGGGGTCTTAAAACAATTCCTTTCCCTGAATCACTAATACTGGCAAAGCCACCTACCAAGATCACATGACCTGATATACCAAGCTTGTACATAGAACTCACTCTCTACTTGGAGGAATGGCCAGCAGCTAACAAGATTGTTCTTGTCTTTCTGCTTTTGTATACTGTGTGCAAGTGACAAAAAGAACCATACACAGAGCTCTGGAGGAAAGAAAGGGATAGACAGATTAAGTGAGTGTAAATCTTACCTGAAATAGCCTGGTAAAAATATCAAATTCAAAAACTGAGATGTAATCATTGCAAGTTAAATCAATGGTTGATTTTAAAGCCATTGCTTCCAGGCCAGAGCTAATCTGATGGACCTCATGCAGGCACTGTCTGAAGATTTTCCATGGTACAATGGTTCTGGGCAAAAGAAAAAGATGAGTCAATGAATCAAGTGTCAATGAAAATATATGTTCTACTGAAAAAAAAAGAAGTAAACCATAATATTAATAGTATTATATTTGAGCCAGGCCATGGTGGCTCCCACCTTTAATCCCAGCACTTCAGAGGCAGAGGCAGACAGATCTCTGTGAGTTCAAGGCCAGCCTGGTCTACAAAGTGAGTTCCAGAACAGCCAGGAGTATTACAGGGAAACCCATTCTTGAAATACACATACACACACACACACACACACACACACACACACACTCAGAGTTTTATATTTGTATTAGAATAGTTGAAAATATTGTGCATAATTCAGGCTCCATGTAAGGTGTTCACTTGATTATTTTGAGTTTGCTAAGCATCTAACAAGAATCTTAGTTTTCATTCAGTTCATGGATATCAAGATATATCTCAAAGGATATCAAGTAGAGGGCATTAAGGTTAACGGGTTAGGTGTCGTGACCCTTCATTTGTATACTCAAGGAAGTTTAACTATGAATCAATCACCTACCACGTCTCAGACAGATGCATTTTGCTGAGGTAAAAACACATGCTCTCTGACCTTCCATATGAATACAACTTGAAAGCTTCATTTATAAATGCAACTACCTTATAAGAATTTGTTTATTCAATATCTACCAGTTATTATATTTCATTATTTATCATACAGAAACAGTTTCTTCAATGCAGCGATGTGCTTCAGAACTTTGGAGGACCATGGAAGGAATTCAGAAAAGACATGTCTCTCATTCCTCAAACAGCAATTTCCACCACTCACCCACCCTCCTTTCCACCATGAAAATCTCTAACATCCATTATCTGTTCCTTAGCAACCTTTCCTCCTTTCACAATGCCAAATCCCTATTCATGAATAGATGGAAGGAAGAAACTATTCATATTTTAAACATTTATATTTCAGTCTCAAAACAGGATACAAGAGCTATATGCATGCTCCAGAAAGATAGCACATATTTAAATCTTGGGTTTTTCTTTACCATTGCCTCCAGAGAAAATAAGCAGAAATGAGCTAAAATTTCCCTGGCCTCGCTCAATACCAATTTTCTCAATGAAGATTGAATACAGTTACAACTTGAATATTCTGAATTATTATCTGTATATACAGCAGTCAAATGGTAACACAGATTAAGCCATTTAAAGGGCTTATTGTCACTGAGAATCTGGAACCTAAGATATTCTGTGGCTCTAGATGGGGCACCAAATGAACAGTTTTGATAAGTTCCTAAATGGTGTTGATTGTGCTTGTATCTTGGAGTCATTGAGGGGCATAGCTATCTAAATGGCAATGCCATTGGAGGCATTTAACTGTGGACAGACCTAGCATCACTTCTGGTCTTGAGGACCATATACTTTGGAGGTAGGATGTATAATGCTCATAGGAAATGAGAAAAGAGAAAACCCTGCTGACTGAGCACTCAACAAGAATGGGAGGATTACAGGAAAGTATGTGGGAAGTAGCATAAAAAATGGCAAGACAGACCTACAAGACACTGAACTTGCATCGAAGCTTCGGCCTGGTGCACCATTAAAGAATAAAACAAAGACGCTTAATACCTCAAAGGACTTTTCTCTATTTCTGAAAAAAACAGGAAACCACAGAGTACTGAAGGGAGACACCACATCAGACGCCATTTAAGAGAAACACACGTCAGACTCTGATTAAGGTTAACAAACTGTTGCTGTCTTAAAAGAACAAAGAAAAATTCTAGTAATATTAGGAAGCTATTGATCTATAGAGAAGTGTACCGATGCAGTTAGTAGTCCAGCTACAGTACAGTGACCATGAAAGTGGTGCCTAAGAGGCACCTATTCATTTTCCAAATTAAAGTTTCCAATACTTACCAGATGCAAAGAACAAAACTCATATATAATAAAAGGAATAATGTTGATCAAAGACTACTGATTTCAGAGTGATACAGATAAAACTTTTTTTCTGAAAAAAGCAGTTACTTTACTTAAAAAAACATAAACTGGATGAATGGAAAAGTACAGTGTTATGTATATGTCTGATAAATGTCCTAATAAGTTAGCCTAAGATTATCACTATTCAATATTCATAACACATGCAGATTATAACCTATTTTGAGTATCTCATCATTTTCCAGAGGAAAATAGAGACAAAATATAGCTACTTCTAAGATTTTGATGTAACTTTCAATTGCAGAGCAATAATTTTCAACATTAAAAGGACACATTTTCATAATGGTTGTGTCATGAGATTAGATCACAGTTCGTTTATGATAAACCCTAAAGCCCCAAGTACATATTCATTAGAACCTCAATTAAGGCTGGTAAGGAAGGCTGGGAAACCAGAGCATTATTTGGCTAGTTTATCACTCAAAATCATTGCTGTAAGATTCCCCCACTTCTGTGTGCTCAGCAGAGACTAAGTGTAGGGGTGGGAGGAGGAGCAGTGTGTGACTGACCATGCCTGTCAGGGCGTGGTAAAGGTGAGGTCAGGATGTAGCACGATAGGTTTTTAAGGGGTTGCAAGGCACATGGGAGCCCCTTCTCTCTGGCCTGCCAGCCTTGCTCTGGCTTGCGTTTGGCTGGTGTTTATCTAAATAAAGATATCTTAACCTTACAGACTACGGATCTTCTCATAATAGGGCAGTGCAGACATTTTAAAGATGTCTTTAAAAGCAAGAAATACTGTGTTTGCACCCTGGCTTTCTTCACAAAGATGAGCATCAATGGCCACAAGATGAAGCCAGAGGGAGAATATATTGATTGCAAGACGTTTCACTGATATGACTGATATGTGCACACTTGGGTGTATTGGCAATGACTGAAGGCAATAAGAGGGAAGAGAGTGGCATAATGGGGCCTACTTGAGCTTCAGTATCTCATCATAGTAGAAAATTTAATCTGCTCTATTTGTCACTTGTCATTCATTATAAAGCTCATTAGCTGCTGTCAGATTATCATAAAAATGAGCTGGGAATTTTTTTCATTTTGTTATATTATTTATCTCTGTGCTTATGCATGAGAGAGAGAGAGAGAGAGAGAGAGAGAGAGAGAGAGAGAGAGAGAGAGTGTGGGTGACTGTGTATGTGGAGTTATGGTAGGGGTTATGAGGACAAACTGTCAGAATTTGTTCTCTCCTTCAACAATATTGGTCATGGGGATTAAACTCAGTGATCAGGTTTGGCATTAAGTGCCTTTGTCTGCAGTATCTTTTATCAGACCAAACACAAGTGATGTTCAGTATACAAGTAGAAAGACAAGTGGGTATCCAGACAACTGCTACCATAGTGTGGTCTCAGAATCTTTAGAATCGCAGTAAGGGTGAGAGCTGGGATTCCTTCACAGCTTACTATTGCTTACCTGCAATACAGAAATCTCTTGTCTTACAAAATGGGAAAGTCATTTCATGTAATGCCCTAAGAGAAAATAACATGCTAAATAAGGCCCTGATATCATTATTAGATATCATACCTTAAATCTGCACATTAAAAAGTAATTATTATTTGAGAAAGAATGAGGAAATAAGGTCAATTAGATGCCAAACGGAAAGGGGGTGAGTGGGTCAAGGATCAGGGGACGCCTCAGTCACAGGTTTTCACCTGTGTGAAAGAGGAAGCATGTGTCAGTGTAATGCGAAAGCCTTGAAATGTTCAGATATGAAGGATGGACATTAGGAAATCAATACAGGAAAAAAAAAAAAGAAAGGCTCAACAGTTTCATGAAACGTCTAGCTCATACAAAGCTACGTGTTTTATGTGCAACACTTGAGGGGAAATTTCACTTAACAAAGGTGTGACTATGAGCAACGGTGATGGTGTCTGGAAACAGGAAATAGCATACACATGTGGTAAGAGAAGAATTTACACAGCATTTCTAGAGGGCAAACTGGTAACAGGGCTCAAAGCCTGTACACCGTGAGAGTCTGCTTCCATGAGACTGTCGCAGTTGGTGTGTAGTGTAAGGGCTCACCTATCTGTCTCTTTAAGACAGTGCTGCAGTGTGTAATACCCCCAAACCAAAAGCAAATAAGTTCATGTTTAATGCCAGAATGTAAGACTGTATTACGCAACTGCAATGACACAGATTGATATTTACCATGTAAATGTGTTCATGGCACATTATTATATAAACTGGTTTGTATTTAACTACTGCTATTAAGGGTCCAATGTTAAACATTTTCATCATTTGTAGAAAGATCATTACAAATTTGGACTAGAACTTCAAACTCCAAAATTCCACATGACACAATGGTATCTGAAAACATGAAACACGAGAGAGTAGGAAGCTAACAAAAGAACACGGTCAACCCAAATACAGAGTCAGAAATAGCAAAGTCCTGAGGAGATATAACCTTCCAGTAGGCTGCCAGACTCAGTATTATAAGGTTGTCACTTCTCCTTAAATTGATCTATAGATTTAATATAACCTCAGTCAAAACCCCCAGGAGGCACTGCTGTAGTAGAAACAAACAGATTCTAAACCTCACGGCAAAATGCCAATAACCAAGATTAAATAAAACAATCTTCAAAAGAACACAAACAAGCTTGTATCCTTCACATTAACACAGTGGCGATGAGACGGGATAGACAAACAGATGGAAAAACTGCTATTTTAGAAACAAACAAGCAAAAATGCATAGCAGTTTGCTATGTAAAGTCAAGATTTGCAAAATGTGATTTTAAAAAGATGTTTTTTCATAGATCTTGGTGGATACAAGTGGGGAAGGAAGTGAATCTTGACCATTAGGCACCAGTACTCCTTTAGAAAATCAACTTGAAGTATTTTAAAGCTAACTATGAAAAAAGTTTTCTTAGAAGAGACAAAGAGCGATATCTGCACACATTTGGAGCAGGCATAAAATTTAAACAGGACCCAAAACATTCAAAGCATAAATTAAATGATGAAATGGTGTGTGTGGGGGTGTTCATGAGAAGACACTATAAACACAATTAAAAGGGAGCAATGAATTAGGATGTTGAACAAACATCATC